TTACAAATAGAAAGTATTCATTGGGCAAAATACATTTCATTTCCAATTTGAATCAAAGAATCTTCCAGTTTCATTCCTTCTTAATCGTTTTTTTCCTTTCTATTCTTATTTTCTTTTCAAGATTACTTTTTTTTAAAGCAATCTTAATTCACGACACAATAAAGAGGACAGTACAGAGACTTCCTGTACCTTTCCACCCCACACACGCATAGTTCCGTGCATAGCGTCCCCTGTTATCAGTACCATTCCCCAGAAAGACACGTGTCTTACCACGGATGAACCGACGTGGACACATCATAATTAACCAAAGTCCAGAGTTTACTTTAGGTATCACTCTCGATGTTGTACATTTTGTGTTTGGACAAATGTATAACGACATTCTTTCATCGTTTTATATCCTAGAGAGTATCTTCACTGCCCTAAAAATCTGCACTCGGCCTATCCATCCCTCCCCCCAGTCCCACCCCGGGCAGCCACTAGTCTTTCTATTGTGTCCGTAGTTTTGCCTTTCCCAGAAAGTCTTATAGATGGAACCATACAGTAGGTAGCCTGTCCAGGTTAGCTTCTGTCACTTAGTAATATGTCTCAAGATTCCTTCGTGTCCTTTAATGGATTTATAGCATTTCTTTTTAGCGCTGTAAAATATTACATTTTGGAGATGTTTATCAGTCCACTTGCTTCCAGCTCGTGGTTGCTTCCAACTCTCAGCAATTATAAATAAAGCTATATGAACATCCATGTGCAGGTTTTTGTGTGGACATAAGTTTTCATCTTCTCTGGGAGTGCAATAGCTGGAACATATGATAAGAGTGTGTTTAGTTTTGTAAGAAACTGTCAAATTGTCTTCCTAAGTGGTTGCATCGGTTTGCACTTCCAAGAGCAATAAATGAGAGTTCCTGTCCCTCCACTCACAGTATGCACTGTCGTCAGTGCCCCAGCTTTGGCCCTTCTAATAGGTGTGCAGTGATATCTCACTGGTGTTTCAATTTTCATTTTCCTGATGACACACAATGTGGAGCATCCTCCTTAATGTGTTAAATACATACATTTGGTTTTAGTTTAGACGTAGCTCAGGTTTGTTTTTCTTATTATTGTCATTGTTATGTATGTATGTATTTATAAATGTTTATCTATTTTTAAAAGAGCACAAGAACAAACAAGGGAGGGGCAGAGAGAGAGAGGGAAGAGTGAGGATCCCAAATGGGCTTCCTGCTGACAGCAGAGAGCCCGATGTGGGGCTGGAGCTCACAAAGTGAGCTCATGACCTGAGCTGATTCCAGATGCTAAACCAACTAAACCACCCAGTGCCACTCTATTTTATTTTTAAAATCAACAAAATATTGGGCTTTCAATACAGTAAAACTTCAGGCTTGTATGTTTTTAAGCATGATATTCAATATGTCCCTATATACAATTTCTCTAGCCTGGCAAAGAATGTTTGAAAGGATATAACACTTTCATAAAATATGCAAAAAAGGAATTGACATTGAAGAAACTAGATAGTAACTTTCTTTCCTTCAAAAATATTACATTAAAAATTACATTAAATGCATTTGATATATAGCCAGATAATCAAACTATCATTATATTGTTAGTGATTGAATAGTAGTAGATAATCTATTTCTCAGAACCTGACTCATTACCTCAGTGACAGGAACAGTATCTAGTACCTATGATGAGAATAGTATCTAGTACCTGGTAGTGCTATTAAATAATATTTTTTTAATAAATGAATGGATGGGTGGGTGAATAAATACTATGAAACATACATGTTTTGCAATTGTCAGTTTTTCAATATTTACAACTGATATATTTAATATTTATAAAAACAAAACCTTACTCTTTTTAAAATGTTTGACACAATAAATTCATTGATCTAGAACTTATAAAAGGCAGATATTTAGAAAAAAAAACTGTATCTCCTGCCTTTCTATGGCCCCTTTCTACTTCTTTACTTTTTCTTTAAATAATAGCAGGGAAAGAAAAAAAAATGCCCCTTTAGCCAGCCCCTATGAATAATATTAACATAAGTAGCATAGTGTGTATCTTTAAACAAATAAAATTTATCTGAAAAAAGTAGGTTCTTTTCTAACTGTGTTTGTGTTTGAGAATACTAGAGTGAAGCCTTTACTGGAAACTTGTTTTTCATATTTTTTCAATAAAATTAATAAAGTTGGATCTTTTATTCTTGACATTTGATAAATGAGCTTATTAAAGGGGTGATTCTTCTCTAGCAAGCAGTATCATTCCTTACATGATAGTACTTCATCGTTCTAAGGTACTTTTTGAAAGAAAGAACTCAAATTTTACAACTCTATTATGAGAAGTTAGGTGGATTCCTAAAGTATATTTTGTTGATTTTACCATACACTTCCCAATAAAAACACTTTACCCAGAAACTTGAATATAATCTAATAATTTAATATATAATATCTCACTTGATACATTTCTGGGGTTTTTTTAACTTTATATTTGTTGAAATGGTATTCTGTGTTTTCCCCCCAAGTTTGGTCATTAAAGAAATGATCTACTTTTTCATTATAATTGCATATGAGAAACTGATATACTGTAACATTTAGATATAAAGACTGAATTTAGTTGAGTCATTTCAAAGAAGTGTTTCTCTAATTGGGGTAATTTATATTGTTTTAATAAACCGTAGTCATATTTCTGGTTGTCATCAGTGGTCTTTATATTAATAATTGTTGCATGTACTCTTTCTTATAGTCCATGCCCCATTTCTTCATCAGCAAGAAGGAGAGGATGACAAGATCATCATAATGGTAGAGAAGTAAACACATGCATGCATACTTGGTACCGTGTGGCACAAAATAATAAATGCTAGTTATTATTATAGATAAAAATTGTCCAACATGCTTCAAGTTTACAGATGTTATCACTAAGAATCAAAAAAGAATTTTTGAGATAAAAGGAATTTTTGGAGATAGTATTTACACTATATGAGTGCCTGTGCTAGTACATTCAATATTATCTTTATTTGCTCTTAACCCCAACCCTCTGAGATCATTGTATTAGCCAAGATAAGAAGGATGAAGTATCTAGCCCTCACCACATCCCAGTGGTTAAATGTACTACATATTTCCTTCTCACTCCCCTCACTCAGACATCGTGAGGACCAGCTGTTCCTGGAGAATGCTCTACCTCTTCTAGGGCTTCGTGCTGACACTGGCCCTCTGTTTCCAGGGAGCAGATAGAGAAGAGAAGGCCAGATCTAAAAGATCAAATTTAGGGTCAAGACTTAAACAATAATGTCTGACTCTCTAATCTTGCTCTTTCTTAAATTGTACTATCTATTTATTCCTCTCTGTATCCTTATCATTTCACATGAGACATTTGAATTTTTAAAAAAATTTTTTAATGTTTAGTTTATTTCTGAGAGAGAGATACACACACACAGCATGAGCAGGGGAGGGTCAGAGAGAGAGAGATACAGAATCTGAAGCAAGCTCCAGGCTCTGAGCTAGCTGTGAGCACAGAGCCTGATGCGGGGCTCGAACCCACAAACCATGAGATCATGACCTGAGCCGAAGTCAGCCGCTCAACCGACTGAGCCACCCAAGCACCCTGAGACATTTGAATTATTCATCCAACAAATTACCCCCCATTGGTTCACACAATATGTTAGCTGAATGAGTTGACTATTTAATTTACTAACACAACTAGTCACTACTTACCTATAGATATTACTCAGAAAAATAAGAACCTAAAACAGAATCTCTGTCTATGGGCAACTTCCTCCATATTAGTTTTATTCTATGGTTCTATAAATTTAGTGTCATAATATAATGTAATTATGCCAAGATTTATTTATTATTTGAAATTTGGATTACTGTATTTCCAATGAAAGTGAAAATATAACAAAACATTGGGTTATACTCTATTTTGTGCTTTTCTTTTTTTAGTGTTTATTTATTTATTTTTGAGAGAGACAGAGAGAGAAAGAGAAAGAGAGAGATGGGGGAGGAGCAGAGAGAGAGGGAGAGAGAGACAGAGAATCCCAAGCAGCCTCCATGCTCTATTTGGTGCTTTTCTAATGAAGTGAAAAATTGAAAGTTAGCCTTCATTTAGGTTTAAGCTTTAAAAACGAATTATTTATCAAACTTCTCTTTTGACACCTAGGAAAAGATAAAAATGGCAAGATTTCAGATTCTTAATGGTAACTGTAAAATCCTGAGAACTTCTCCCTTGAAAACAGTGGAATTGATACAGTAAGGTATTAGATACAAAGTACATAAGAGAGATTGGACTGGAGTGAAAAATTGACATAAATTTATGAATTATTTACAAAACCAGGATATGGGCTCTGTGAGCCTACCAGTAGGTTTAGAATAAAAAGCATAACCAGAACCCCAGAGAACATCAATGTTCATTGTGCAGATACATGTCTTCTGAATTAACCCTACTTTATATGGTAACATTTTAAGAATATTTGGAACCCCAGGTTCTCCTATCTATTGGGCTATGCCCTAAAATGTCTAAAAGAAATTTACTTGGACTCTAATTCTGCTCCATTTCTCAATTATCAAAGCAAAATTGCGAGATCTCCAAAATGTCTTTCTTGCTCACTCATCGAGACTGAGCTTGTTTTTCACTGCAGGTACTTTAATTTTTACATTGCGAATGGCCTGCTTTTAAAATTGTTGATATTTTGCTCATTTCAAATTGTTCTAAATGATCTGTGAAACAAAAGCAAAACTTGGACAGCTGTATACCCCTCATAGGACAAAATTGGATACAAGAATGAATGACCTTCCCATAATACTTAGAGCCAGTTCTGCTTTTGAAAGTGCATTCCTATACAAAATGTGTTCCTCTGAACTCAGTTAACAAAGGAGAGTATTATACAAAGCAGCAGACAAGAGAGTTTAATTATCAAAGTGAACATGAGAATTTGAAAATCACTGAGGTAAGGACGGGAACAATAAACGAAGAAGCAAGTTTTGTACTTTCATTTCTTTGGTTTTTAGTTACAGTTAGTCCAGCTCATTTTGGCAGCCCATACACTACAATTGGAAAGACACAGAGAAGATGAGCCCGGCCCCTGTATGATGATGACACTCAAATTGGTGAAGTGTTCCATATTTAGTTACAGTTACATGCTTTTTAAGTTATGTCTATAATATATGCACACATTACCCACTGCATGATTTCTTTATAAATTGTTTTGCAAAACACAGCATATTCAAACAGGACAAGGCAGAGTATTTGTCATGGAGAAAGAGCAGACAAACCTTAGTTTTTTGTTAAGCTCTTTGCATGCATTGTCTCATTTCATACTCACCAGCTTATGAGTACATGTTACTAGTGCTTCTATTTTTAGAGAGGAAATGAAAGATTAAAAAACCTAACCAATTTTGTATTGAAGCACGACTGACATAAAATTTCCTATTATTTACAGGTGTACATCATACTTATTTGGTATTTATTTGGTATTTTTACATATTACAAAATTATTCCCATGATAAGTCTAGTTACCATCTAAAGTTATTATAATATTGTTGACTATATTCCCTGTGCTGTATTTTATGATGCCATGAGATATTTATTTTATAACTGAAAGTTTTTTTCTTTGTTCACTCACTCCTAATAGAGCCAAGAATTCGTTTAAAGTCTCAAGAGGCCAGGTGTCTCTTCATTAGCTTTTCTCTACCTACTATAGTCTCTATGTGACTCTCTTCCTTTCAGTACAGGCACAGTCCAGTTTTGAGAAAAATTTATTCCTGGGAAAGAATATATACAAACTTAAATATCTGGCATGAGCATTTATGGGCCATATATATGTGCCTGTTTCAGACATGATTATGTCTTAATAAGAAATTAAAAATGTGTAAGTGCTATGTGAAATAATTAAAGTATAGGGTTTGTATTAGCATCCAATAAGTAGAAGCCTCAAAATACAAATAGGGGTTGCTTGGATTCTAATAATTCTTCTTGAGAAATAGTATGTCCCAAGTTTTAATGATCCTTCAGATTAAAGTTAGACATTCCCATAATCTTAGTTCAGCTAATGATACATGAAATCACTTCCTGCTATAGCAACCATTTCCATAAATGCCAGTATTTATGTTTCCAGTATTAAAAAAATCACAACCTTCTTAGTCTCAATGTACTCAAACACAGTACCAGGTTGCCAGCTGAAACACTGAAATAGTACCTGGCCACCTACCTTTATTCACAGACCAATAATATCCAGAGCCTTAAAAATGCCATCACCTTGTTTGACTGCACTGAACTGTGAAACCTGGAAGGATGTAGAAACCAGAACAGGCTGCTAAAATGAAGTCATCTTGCTAAAGGGACAATTTGTAATGGGGCATTGTGCTGACAGGTCTGCAAGTCTATAGTCTACAGTCGCTGTGTATGTTTGAGCTCAAAATAGACCTTGTGTGTGACAAAAACAACATTATTCTCAACCGTTGAGGGATCTTGATGGATATTGCTTCTCCCAACTCTGGAAAATTAAAATTGAGGCCCTATGGAAAGGTCTATTCATGTAGCATGCTCTGGTTTTTTAAAGAAATCATGCTGTATATAGAAAGAATGGTCTACACACGCTTGCTGAACACGAAGAACTATCTGTCTTTATATTCCAAAGTTTAAAAAATTTATTATAATATTTGTCTCTTGACGATCAAAAGGTTTATCTCAGTTTAAACTCTAAACCATATTTCATAATGCATTGCTTATGGTGAAAAGCTAAAATGATATTAAGTAGCATTGACCCAAAAGTTTGGGTGAAACTGTTTATCTAGAACCTGATACTCTGTTGACAGAAATAGCATAGTATATTGAGAGTTTCAGAAGACACAAAGGTTGTTTTTTTTTTTAATGCATACTTCATGCTCTTATGTGTAGTGTATATAATCAACATAAGGAGATTTTCACTTTGATATTTTTAATCATCAGACAGAAATATGCATGTGCCAAAAAATCTTTCATTTTCAAATATTTGTTTATTGTAGATTTCCAACTGCCTCAAAAATTAGACATGCTCCATGTTAACTTAAAGATCAGATCATTCTTCTCTCTTAGTAGAAGTAGAAATTATTTTCCTCAGTGGGATGGATTTGTCCTGACAGACTTCAGCAATCATCTTGGGTGGATGAAAATCAGAGAATGAGAACTATAGTCCTAGCTCTGCCATGTTTGTTCATCCCTCTAGATTGGATTTTCCACTTGGAAGATGAAGGGCTATAGTCCATAGGAATAGTTAACATTTACTGAGAACTTGCTTTGTGTCAGGCACAATAGCTCTACAAGTCACTTCTGATATTAATCCCATTTTATGGATGAGGAAAATTGATACACACAAAGATAAAATAATCTTCATAAATAATTAGAAAGCCCAAATTTGAACCAAGGCTCCACAACCCATTGAAAAACTACAACTCATTCTGCCTTCCCAAAGTGTTTTCGAGCTATGAACAAAGTAATTCAACATCTTGCCTTGTTATAGTTTGCTGTTTAAATTCTTGTGCTTGAACTAGGATTATGTATTTTTTAAAAGTTTTAATGTTTATTTACTTATTTTGAGAGAGGGAGGTTGAGAGAGAGAGAGAGAGAGAGAGAGAGAGAGAACCCCAAGCAGGCTCCATGCTCAGCATGGAGCCCAATGCAGGGCTCGAGCCCACGAACTGCAAGATCATGACCTGAGCAGAATCCAGGAGTCAGAGGCTGAACCAACTGAGCCATCCAGGTGGCCCTCCCATATATTTTTTTAATAGTAAACAGTCTATTAAAGATTTGGCATATAAGTGGCATCATATTAAGCACTGAATGTCAAATTAAAGACAGCTTCTTTTTCTATTCTTTAGTTCTTTTGAAAAGGAAGAACTGCCCTCCTTCCTATACTTACAACTAAGCAAAGAAAAAGGACCTAATGGTCATTAAAAAGAAAATAATGTCTGGAAAAAAAAAAAGAAAAACCAAAATGGCCTATTTCCACATCCAAGTAGCAGGCTTATTAAGAAATAAATCACATTCTTTCAATTTGCCTAGTCCAGCATTGGGAGATTAAAAGCCAAACAAGTTTCCTGGTCATTTTTAGAGTTATATTTATGAGAAGCAAATTCTAGTTGAATATATATGGATAGATATAGTTAATTTTATGGAATAAAGTCATGTGGGATAGATGAATAGTTAGTAATATAGATGGCTCCAAGAGCTCTGAAGTGCCCCAAATCACGCACTACATTAAAAACACTAGTGCAGTTGAAATGGAAACATTGGCTGGACCTAATAAAACCAAACAATTATTCTGAACTTTAGATCTGAAAAGCAAAGTTATCAGCTATCATTTGGTTTAAAGGAAAGTTTTAAATTTGAACAAATTAATATACTTTTTAAAATTTTTCCTGTCTTTTGCCAGTTCCAAATGGAAAACTCCAATCCATTTCATAAGCTGCTCAATGTGCTCACAAATAGATCCTATCAGAAAAGGAAATTACAAGCCAGGATCCCAAATGAACATAGATGCAAAAATCTTCAACAAAATATTAGCAAACTGGATTCAACACTACATGAAAAGAATCATACAGTGGGACCAAGTAGGATTTACCCTGAGATGCAAGAATGGTTCAACATCTGCTGATCAATCAATGTCGCACATCACATTAGCAAAACAAAGGACAAAAATCATAAGATCTTTTCAATAGATGCAGAAAAACCATTTGACAAAATTCAACATCCATTCATAATAACTCTCTGCAAACTGATTATAGAAGGAATACACCTCAACATCATAAAGGCCATATACAACAAACCCACAGCCAACATACTCAACAGTGAAAAGCTTTTCTTTTAAGATCAGAAACACGACAAGGATGTTCACTCTTAACCAATCTTGTACACTACAGGAAGTGCTAGCCAGAGCAATTAGACAGAAAAAATAAAAGCATCCACATTAGAAAGGAAGAAGAAAATTGTCACTATTTGCAGATGACTTTATATTACATGTTGAAAACTCTAATGACTCTACCAAAAAACTTATTAGAACTAGTTAGTGAATTCAGTAAGGTCGCAAGATCTAAAATCAATAAACAAAAATCAGTTGTGTTTCTATAAGTCAACAATCAACTATAAGAAAGGAAAATTAAGAAAGCAATTGCATCTACGATTGCATCAAAATGAATAAAATACTCAGGAATAAATTTAAATAAGAAGATAAAATATCTGTACATTAAAAACTGTAAGATACTAATAAAAGAAATTGAAGGAAACACAAATAGCAAACAAAAAGAAAGACATTTCATGCTCATGAATTAGAAGAAGTAATATTGTTAAAATGTCCATACTACCCAATGCAATCTACAAACTAAATGCAAATCTTATCAAAATTCCAATGGTATTTTTCACAGAAATAGACTAAACAATCTTAAATTTGGTATGGGACCACAAAAGACCCTGAAATATCCAAAGCAATCTTGAGAAAGCACAACAAATCTAGAGGCATCACATCTTTTAATTTCAAATTATACTAGAAAGCTATATCAGAACAATATCAGAGCCTGCATCAGTCTCTGTGTTGATAGCTCAGAGCCAGGAACCTGCTTCAGACTTGTGTCTCCCTCTCTGTCTACATTTCCCTTGCTCACACTCTGTCTCTCTCTCTCTTTCTCAAAAATAAGTAAAAACGTTAAAAAAAAACTTAAAAACTTGCTACCTGTGAGCTTTTAGGGATAGAAGTCATTTTTCTTTGTTTGTTTTCCTTTATGTGAGCAGTACCTAGCAGAGTATAAATCTACATACACTTTATAACCAAAGAGTTTTATTTTGAAAAAATAATCTAGAATTTGAATAGAAAAAATGTTTCTACTAGAAGTAAATCAAAACATTGATGCTTTCTTCTTTGTTTGGTCTTACTCTATTTTCCAATATTTTTAGTAACATAAACTCCATCAAAAAAAAATTGTTGGGGTGCCTGGGTGGCTCAGTCGATTAGTAACTGACTTTTGATTTTGGTTCAGGTGATGATCTCACAGTGGTGGAAAGGGTTAGAGTCCTGCATAAGGCTCTGTGCTGACAGCATGGAGACTGCTTGGGATTCTCTTTTTCCTGTTCTCTCTCTGCCCCTCCCCTGCTCACATA